ACATAAAGTACTAATAGAAAATAAATAAATATAAAATAAAATAAAATGTATAAATCCAGAAGTAGCAGTGGAAGCAAGTGTAATAGTTAAGATTTTATGTCAACTTGACAGAGCCAGGAGTCTCGGTGGATTCACAATTAAGATGCAGTAATCCTCCATGATGAGATGTACTATAAGGAATCAATAGAAAGAAAGTTTCCTTGGGGTGTGGCTTGCAACACCTCTTTATCTACAAGCGATAAAAGGACAAAAAAGTGAGCAGAGAACAGGGACCTACTACCACCAAGAAAGAAGAGCCAGGAGTGGAGTATATCCTTCAGACCTGGGGTCCCTGCACTATGAAGCTCCTAGATCCAAGGAAAGATCAATGTCAAAACACATGGGGACCTCCAAGGAATGCTGAGCCTACAGACGCTAAAAGGAGACAAGGACTTCTCCCCAGAATCAGAACTCTAAATTCAGACTTCCAGCCTCCTAAACTGTGACATAAATTTGTCTACTAAAGCCATCCATTTGCAGTATTTTTGTTCTAGAGGCGCTAGTTAACTAGTTATTTAGCAGTATTATTTATGTAGGTAAACATCAGAAGAAAGAGCTAAAAGAGTTTAAAAAAGAAAAAAAGTGGTTGCTACTATGAAGTGGGATTTATACAGAAGTTTAACAAAAAGCTGCTGTTTTACTTTTCAATTCTATAGTAATTATTAACTTCAAAAATGATCTCCAAGTCTCCAAGTATTATTCTGATTTTAAAAAAAAAAAAAAAATTTCTGTTGTTTTTTGTTTTTTGTTTTGTAACTACAAATTACACATTTATATAAACAAACTACTTACAGTCTTCAGTAGTAGGCAGATCATTAGTTTTAGAATATAAAAGTTAAAAATAAAATTATTTTACTAGCAGCCACTGGTATTTTGATTGGTAACAAGGTCCCAAAAAGCCAAATGAAGGGAAAAAGGAAAGAAAAGTTTAAATAAATCACCTACTGGTTCCCAGTAATTGAATGTTTCATCACAGTCGGAGATGTTGCTCAGGAGAGCAGCGCATAACCTTGCTGAGAGCAGACACTTGAAGGCAGTAGATCCTTCAGGTGCCCAAACTTGTCCTGCTTTGTTCCCAGATAGCCTGCTCCAGAAGCAAAAATAAAGTTAAATTAAAATGTCAGGACGGACTTGCTCATCACGAATAAAACTACTCAGAAAGAACAAGATGGGTAAGAAACATCAAAGTAATGGTATATTCTCCCAAAAACGTGAATGTTAGTTTTTCTGAGTTGTTTTTGTTAGGTGAAGTCAGTTCTGACTCATACATAGTGAGTGATACTATGTACAACAGAACAAAAAAACCGTTTAATTCTGTACCATCTTCACATGTTCATGTTTGAGTCCACTGTTGCAGCCACCCTGTCAATTCATCTCATTTGAGGGTTTTTCTCTTTTCCACTGACCCTATACTTCACTAGGTAATACAGGGGCACTGTAGGATAAGCACTGGTCTATGAATCACAAAGTTGGAGTCCACCAGATGCTCCATGGGAAAGATGAGGCTTTCTGCTCCGCAAAGATTTACAGCCTTGGAAACCCAATACAGAGTAGCTATGAGTCAGAAAAGACTCAAAGGCACTTAACAACAACAAATTATTTACTAAACCTTCTTTAGTAACTGATCCCTTCTGATGACATGTGTAAAGTACATGAGACCTCATTATTCTCACTTTTAAGGAGCATTCTGGCTATACGAGGGGGCTGCAAAACATCTGTGGAAAAATACCACTTATCTTTTATTTTCATTTTTCCATGAACTTTTTGAAGCCCCCCAGTACTTCTTCCAACACAGATGTTTGCTTTTCTGGTTGCTGTTAAGTAATATCAAGTCAATTCCAACTCACAACAACCCTGTATAGGGTTTCCAATGAACAACTGGTTGGATTGAATCGCCAACCTTGTGGTTAGCAGTCCAGGGCTTATCCAATAGCACCACACCAGAACTCCAAGTAGTCCTTGTTATATTTAATATTCTTCGCCAGTGTAATGAAAGAAAGAAGACCAAATCACTCTGTCCACTTCCTTCTTCAAGTTGTAAATTAATTCATACACTTCAGCTTGCTACACCCCTGACATTGATTTATCCCACGCCAACAAATCACTCATTGGAAAGCAAACCAATCAAAACAAAAAACACTATGATTTTCTTTTCTTTTTCTCTTAGCATGGTCATAACTATCCATGGCTTCATTCATCCAACTATATTTATTCAAAGATGTTGTCTGGGCTTCTACTCATGGAAACCCCAAGGATAGGACAGTTATGATCCAAAGAGTTTTTGTCATAGGGTTTTCCTTGGGTGAAATTTTGGACACAGATTATCAGGCCTTTCTTCAAAGTCAAGGAACACCATGGGAAGAGTCCTACAAAAAAAGAAACCACTGCCCTCCAGTTAATTCTGGCCTTGCAAGACAAAGTAGAACTGCCATCTTCACGACAGGAGATTGACCATCTTGTGCTCAGTTCGGACTGCAGGCCTTTTGGTTGGCCAAGCTTTATCCAGGGCTCCCCGGGTAGCAGCATCACAGCAACCCGCAAACTATCACTGACAGATGGGATTTGGCTGCACTAGAGTTGCATTAGTTCTATTGGGTATGCCCGCATGGGGTAAAATTCTACTACTGAACCACCACTGCTCTCAAGTTGAAATATACAGAAGTTGAAATTCACCAGTCACTCCTCGGAAACCCTATACAGGGTAGCTATGACTCGGAACCAACTCGACGGCACTTAACAACAACATGTGCATGGCATAGCCTCCAATTCCTTCAATGCCAACCTGCAGTCCCTCGGGCACAGGGAGAGCTGGCTGCATGCAAGTGCAGGAGTTTGGGAAGACTGAACAGAGAGTAAAGGGTCAGGACTTCTGGAAAGAAGGCAGCAGTCAAACACTCTGTGTGCTCTTGCCATCGTATCCCACAAAGGCTCTGCTAACTCAAACCCAAGAAACCAGCCCACTCTGGACCTGGGTCACTGGAGCAATGCAAACAGGTTCTCCAAGGTGGAAGTATCTAAGGCGGGGCGAGAAGAAGGACCTGGCAAAGAGGAAGTCATGGCCTCTCGGTAGTCAGCGACAAGGACAACCCTGGCTGTGCTCCCGAGACCCTCCCAGTGGCAACCCGGCCCGCGCCGCCCGCCGGGCCACGCCCCCGCCACGCCAGCACTCGTACTCTGTCCGGTGCTCCGAGGCGCCCGCCTCTCGGCTGCATGGCAGGTCCCGCAGCTTGTCTGCACCAGTCGAGATGGCCGTGTGCCCGCCGCTGGCCCCGCTTCCTTTCAGGCGCTGTCGGGACCCTCGGCTCGCCATGGTAAGCGTAGGTAAGAAGGAAGAATTAGGAACCCTACGAAATCTACGAGCACGAAGACTGAGCTTTGACTGGCAAACGGTGTCCGCAGAGGGACAAAAGACCTTGGCATGCGCAGAAAGGACTAAATGATTGCGTTATGGGGCCAATTGGGGTGAATTCCGAGTAGACAATAAATGAGACCTTAAATGTTATTTTTGCCATCATAGCTGTAGTCCTTTCACATGCTTCTTACTCTGGGCATTCCTCCTTTCAAACTCTGTTCCTTTGGTTTTAATATTCCACTCTCCTACAAAAACTCATTCGGTTGTTGAGGTAGTTCGTAAAAAAGCATGACACTGCTGTCTATCAAAGGGGAGTTCCCTTAAAGGTCACTTTACCACCTTGCTCATTCTGTATTTTGCTGTGAGTGATAGCCTGTAGCTGCTTCAGAAAGACAAAAGGGTAATGGCAGATTATAGAATAAGGCGCAAAAGTGAGATTAAAGAAATTAAGTGTAGCAAATTCAAGCGGACAACAGACGCTGTCATTGCTGCTATATGGCATTTTACATATTTTATCATCTTTCAGTTTAATACTCTCAGCAACCTTATTTTATCAATAAGGAAAATGAGACCCTAAGTTGCCTAGCTAGTAAATTGTTGTTAAGTGCCGTGGAGTACTTAACAGCGATGCTGTATAGACTTTAACCACCAATTTTGCAGTTCAAACCGACCTTGTGGTCCAGTGTTTTCCTGCAGTGCCACACTAGTATTCCTGTTAATAAATTGTTGTTAAGTGCCGTGGAGTCGTTGTGACTCAGTGACCCTGTATAGGGTTTCGGAGAAGCGGCTGGTGAGTTTTAAATGCTGAGCTTGCGGCTTAAACTGACCTTGCAGTCCACAGTGCCATACCAGGACTCTGGTAAGTAAAGGGTGGAGCCATACTCCAACCAGGGCTCACTTGGATTTTCATACAGGCATGTGTGGATGACACAGGACTAGGAGATTGATCATCTCGCTCGCTCCCCACATCCAATCATTAATTATCAATTGAAACATCCCAGTTTAGCCATGTCTGATACATTCACCCCTTCCTTTTCATGCCCATCTTTCAGCTTCTATCTAGGACTACTGCAGCAGCATCTGTGCAGGGGTTTGTTCTCTCAAATTCATTCTGTGTAATACTGTTAATTTTCCAAAGCACTACTCTTTTGTGTCACTTCCTTAATAAAAAATCTCAAATTTTTTTCTTATAAAACCAAATTGTCATTGAATTGATTCTACTTATATATAGGAGTCCTGGTGCGGCACTGTGGGCTAATGTAGCAGACTGCAAAGTCGTTTGAACTACAAGGTTGGTGGTTCAAGCTCACCAGCTGCTCCTTGGAAACCCTACACAGGGTCGCTATGGGACAGAATCAACTCGACAGCACTCAACAACAACAACAGAGACCCTATGCAGGGTTTCTAAGACTGTATGTACATGGGTATTTACCTTTGCTGCAAACACAGCTATGAATGTGGTTAAGTGTGGTATTGGTGGTGTGGTGGTTATAAGCCATGGAGTCAGTTCCAACGCATGGTAACCCTGCATAGGGTTCCCAAGTCTATATAAATGTTTGTTGTTGTTGTTCTGTGCCGTGGAGTAGGTTCCAACTCATAGCGACCCTGTACAGGGTTTCTGAGGCTGTAAATCTTTACAGGAGCAGAGAGCCTCATCTTTCTCCTGCGGAACAGTTGGCAGTTTCGAACTGCTGACCTTGCAGTTTGCAAACTGATTCGTAAACACTACGCTACGAGAGCTCCTTTTTAGAAGAGCAGAAAGCTTCATCTTTCTCATGTGGAGTGGCCGGTGGATTCAGACTACTGACCTTGAGGTTAGCAGACCAACTAGTAACCCACTACACTACCAGAGCTCCTTGTGGTGGGGCATACAGGAGATAAAATGAGGAAAACTTCTTAGATATCATCAAGCATCTTAAGGCAGTGAGTTCCTAGGCCTGAGTGTTCAAGACCATATAGTATCAGGGACACCATGATGAATTGATATAACAAAGTCCACAAAGACAATGTTTTACAGCCTACTTTGGTGAATAGGGATCTTAACTGTTCTAAGGATGCATCGAAGGTGCAGCTATTGATGTCACCTTGTGCAGAAGAAAGAAGAGTGATGAGACTTGAAGATGCTTGGAATCAATTAGTCCAATGGACAAATGGAACACATGAATATCAGGTTTCACTCCAAGATGAGAAGAAGCAGATGGTGCCCAGCTACTATTCACTACCAACTGCTCTGAAAAGAATCACATTAAAAAGTCCCAGATAGAGTGGGAGAAAATGTGGGGGCAAAATTAAAATTATAAAAATGACCAGGCTGACTGGTCAGAAAGAGGCTGGAGGAACCTGAGACTAAGGCCCTTGATCACCCTTCAGGTCTTGGATGGAAATCACCTTCACAGTCCAATTTTCAACCAAGCAGTAGATAGGTATATAGGGAAGAAAACAATGCTAGTGAAATATGCTCACTATGGAAAATCAACCATTTAACATCAAAAGGACAATATTTACCTGGGGACAAGGTTCAGAGGGGTTGTGAAGGAGGGTGGAATGAAAATAGGAACCCAGAGAGGAAATGGCTAACTGTTGTCACATGGAGGGGATTACAATCATTGAGATGAAACAAAGTATGTGATTTGTTAGATGTAAAACAGATCATCTGTTCTGCAAACCTTCATTCAATTCACAATGAAAAGTTAAAAAAAAAAAAAAGTAGAGTCAAAATGTTCTTTAGAAGCATCTCACATACTTTGGATATGTTATCAGAAGGGACAAGTTTTTATAAAAGGATATCATATTTGCTACAGGGTCAGACACTCAATGAGATGGAATGATACAGTGGCTGCAACAAAGGGCTCAAATGTATATAGTAACCATTGTGAGAATGGTTCAGGAGCAGGCAGGATTTTGTTCCGCTGTACATAGGGGAGCTATGAGTTGGGACGAATTTGACAACACCTAACACCACCACAACTTTGCTATGCACACTTTACAATCCAACAAACTAGACTACTCCCTCAAAGAGTACCCCAAACACTTCTGCCTCTGCTCACATAGGACATCTGTCTACAAGACACACCTTCAACACCTAATAATTTTCCTGTCAGAGCTCTGCACTTGTTTCAAGACTCCACTCAAATGCTAACTCATCCATATACCAGAAAGTACACAGGATGAAAGAAATGCATGTCATATCATCTGCTCTCCATTGCATTATAGTCTACGTGTGTTGTTGTTAGGTGCTATCCAATTGGTTCTAATCATAGTGACCCCACGCAAAACACTATCTGGTCCTGCACCATCTTCACAATTATTGTTCCATTTGAGCCCATTGCTGTTGCCATCCTGCCAATCCATCTTGTTGGGAGTCTTCCTCTTTTTTGCTGACCCTCCACTTAGAAGGGTTCTTCTCCAAGGACTAGTCCCTCCTGATGTATGTATGCAGTATGAGAGATGAAGTCTGGACATCCTGACTTCTAAGGAGCATTCTTTCAACACAGATTTGTTCGTTCTTCTGGCAGTCCATGGTACTTTTAATATTCTTCTCCAACACCATAACTCAAATGCATCAATTCTCCTATGGTCTTCCTTATTCATTGTCCAATTTTCACATGCATACGAACCTATTGAGAATACCATGGCTTGAGTCAGGAGGGACCAGACCCTGAGAAGGACATTGTGCTTAGTAAAGTGGAGGATAAACAAAGCAGAGGAAGCCCTCAAGGAGTGGAATTAGCACAGTGGCAGCAGCAATTGTGAGGATGGTGCTGGACAGGGCAGTGCTTCATTCTATTTTGCATAGGGTCACTGAGTCAGAAGCAACTAGACGGCACCTAAAAACAATAAGGGGCACCTAACAAGGGAGTCAAATTATGTTCTTTTGAATGTTCTATGAGTTTGGGGAACAAATAGAATGAAGGCCAAGATCAGGGATGTATGGAGGATGGGGTAATTTTCCAAACAAAATTCTCGTAGAACAACCTTTGCTACCTTTGAAGAGTGAGCAGGTACATTGTTGTGATGGGGAAAACATTCCTCATCACAACTTTCCGGGCCTTTTTCTCACCAATGCACTTTTCAATTTTCTTAAAACTTCTTCAGAATAAGTCCCCATTTTCCATGATGGAAAAGATTATCCTTTCGGAATCCCAAAAAACTGTAGCTATAACTTTCTGAGCTGGATCTCCCTGCCTGAATTTAACTGGCCCAGCAAATCCCCTTGTAAACCACTGTTTTGATTGGACTTTTTATTGGAAGATACCCTAACAAGACTGAGACAAGTGTGATACTAAGACAATTTGTCTGCAGCTACCCACTGATTGCAGAGACATGTTTAAGCACATTTTATTTGGAATAAACCTGTGCATGGATCTCTACTGGAACCCTAGTAGAGATACTTTTTGACTTACACTTGTATATTCAAAAGAAATAAGACACAAATAGACATATGCACACCCACATTCATTGCAGAATTATTCAAAATAGCAAAACAATGGAAACAACATACATGTCCATCAGTGCATGAATAGAGAAACAAAATGTGGTACATATATAACAATGGAATGGTAAACAACAATAAAGAACAATGATGAGTCCATGAATGGTGGCCTTATAACATATATGAATTGGGAGGATATTATGCTGATTGACAAATGTCAATCACAAAAGGACAAATTGCATACCACTTTTATAAAAAGTCAAGAACAGATTTACACACAGAAAGCACTATGCTTTGATGGTTACCGAGGATATGAGAGGAAGGGAGGGAGAATCACTTACTAGATAGTTAAAGCAAATCAAATCCATTGCCATCGAATCAATTACAACGAATAGTAACCCTACAGGCCAGAGTAGAACTGCCTCATAGGGTTTCCAAGGCTGTACAGCTTTACGGCAACACTGTTATGTCTTTCACCAGAAGGATGGCTGGAAACAAGGTGGAAATGGGGAGAATGCTGAAACATTGTAGGAATAACAATCAATGTTACAGAACAATCTGTGCATAAATTTCTGAATTGGAAACTAATTAACTGTGTCAGCTTTCACTTAAAACACAATTGTTCCATTTTTAAAAAAAACTTATTTAAAAAAAAAAGTCCAGAGAGGACTATTAGATGCAAATTGGTTTTTTTCATCCACAACCACATCCATAAACCATCACACTGTAGAAACAAATATACTGAACTACCGAGGTGTCACGTGTAGTCGTCGTTGAATTTCTTCCCTAAACTGGGACTGCATTGACGCTACTTGCTGTCGGGTAAGCGTCTTGTCACAGGTCTGGTAGATCAATCTGTAGCAGAGGCTGACTTGTTCAGTCTTGGGATGCTGAAAACGACTAAGAAACTGTATGGATATGACAGTGTTCTGGGATACTTCTCGGGCCACAGTATGAAACTCTAGTTCATTAAATCCTTTTTTCTCATCTAACCAAAAACTGATATCATGTGCATAGCATGGAGGGTACAGAGAATAGCTTTTGAAGGGTTCTATTTTTCCAGGAACAAAATTCTTCAGGAAACGGTTATCAAATGTCCACAACATTCTCCAGTCAGAGATACCCCAGATAAGCATGACTAATAGGTCCAAGTTCATAGACACAACCACAAAACACTGGTCTTTGTGTATAATGTTGGTAGCAGAAGTGGTGACAGAGCCAAGAATCAGATCCTCGGTACTATGTGGGTCAAAGTTATGAGACTTCACAGTAATCATATAATCTTTCCCATTTGGTTGAAAGACAAATTTCACTGACCTGCTCAACTTAGAACTTTCCAGCAATGCCTGAGTCAGCAGGTGGTCTAGAATACACTTAAGGTGACTCAGTAGCGACTGAAGATAGCCATCCTTCAGATTTTGATTAAAACCAAGGATTAATAAAGTTTCATGAAATGCTGGCATTGTGAAAGCCGAAATGAGGTTCTTCCTAAAGACGGGTCCACTGAGGATATACAGAGAACCTGGGACCAAGTCTGGTGCTTGGATGATGGCCTGAACGTGAACTAGTAGAGAAGATCTAAGGCAGGCTTTGACCTGGCCATAGATTTCTTCATGAGCCTCTTCCTTATCACCTCTTTCAGGATTACGGGGAAGGCTACGTTCTGAGAGTGACATTTGAAGCTCTTCTATATCTTGTATTGTCCCATCAGTCGGGGACTCAGAATCTGAGTTGTCCTCAAAGAGACTAATCCAAATGGCAGCTGATGGAAAGTCACAATTCCAGGAAGTAAGAACACTGGTGCCTCCTTGTGGCCACACAGGGGAGGGACACTTAAGCCTTTTCAGAGGAAAAGCTTTGCCCAATTCATCAATGAGTTTCTCATTTATGGTTCTGACAGGATGACATGAAGGTGCTTCCAGGAAACCTCTGCTTAAATACACACACACAAACAAATAACTTTTACAACTTAAAATAACAAATACTTATGACATAGCTAGCCACCAAGTATAAAATCTGTCATTATTGAAGAAAGCAAGTATGTCTAAAGAATGAATCAGGAAATTGACAGTTTGCTTTTCTGCAGATAAGATTAAAAACACAAATAGCTGTTTTACAGAATGGAATTATCCTTAGGGTGATTCTAGAAGGAAACAAAGAAACCATCTACCATTAACAGAAATAACATATGTTTGAAAATTCTGACAGCCACCATTCCTAAACTATACCAAAAAATATGGCTGCTTTAAATTCTAGAGAAGTTTGAGAAGGTCAGACTGACTAGTAGGATTCACAGCACCAACAGCAAAAATTTATATAGCATCTCTTCACTATACAATTGCTATTAACCCAATCAGATACAGATTGATGTGAATGCTATTTCCAGTAAAATAATAAGTTACCTGTTCAACTTTCCTGCAAGTGTGGCAGGTTCTGAAAAGGAAAACCACTGATCACCTAGTCTGATTCTGAAGATTCTGGGTTGAGAACATTCGAAGGGCAAGCTCCTGGTGAAGATATGGTTCAGAGCACCTTCAACATGAAAAGTCTTATCTTGACTCCTTGTGAAAAAAAAAAACTAAGTATAAAACCAGTCATTATTGAAGAAAGCAAGTATGTAGAGTGAATGAATCATGAAATTGGCAGGAGAAAACGTTTCACAGCAGATAAGTTTTTTTTTTTTTTTTTATCATTAGTGATAGAGATGAAAGAGGAGGACTTGGACCTAAGCTATTACTTACCTATATCCAGTGCACCTGTACCCTGGCACCGCCTTACAGATGAAGGGATGTACATCACTTAAAATGAACCCTCCCAGAGCTGCCATGGCAACCACTTGCCAACTGTTGTGCCATTCTCTCATGGGCTTGTCAGCAGGAGTCCCACCTTGTCCTCTGCACAAGGCCACATGCACTTCTCCTGCCTCTGCAAGAACATCTGCACAACTAGTGGGGTTGGGTAAGAGGAGAAAACAATAGCTATTTATTAAAAGCAGATCAAAATTACATAACAGTTAGCAACATATACATGGTTTGGCGACAAAGACAGGACTTTAAGTAATTAAAACCCAATTATACATATTTACAACAGTGGATCTCAACAGCCACTCCTTGAAAACCCTATTCAGGGTCACTATGGGTCGGAACTGACTCAACGACACTTAACAACAATAACAACAATTCGTCCCAACATGCAAAGAAAGTTTGTTGTTGTTATTAAGTGCTGTTGGGTTGAATATAACTCATAGTGATACTGTATAGAGTTTCTGAGGCTGTAAATCTTTAAAGGAGTAGAAAGTCTTATCTTTTCTCCATGGAGTGGCTGGTGGGCTCAAACTGCTGACCTTGTGTTTAGCAGTCCAACTTAACCTACAGTGTCACAAATGTTCCACAAGGAACGTGGTTGGAAGTAAGTAGAAATGTAAACTCAATGCTCAATCCACTAAACAACAGTAGTGGTTGACCTAGGGGGTTGTTCAGCTTTGAATCTGTATTGGCCCTCATAGAAAGGAGCTCTGGTAGCGTAGTGGTTACAAATCGGGCTGCGAACCACAAAGTCAGCAGTTCGAAACTATAAGCTGTTCCGTGGGAGAAAGATGAGGCTTTCTGCTCCCGTAAAGATTTACAGCCTCAGAAGCCCTGTACAGGGTCACTATGGTTCGGAACCGACTCCATGGCACATAACAACAACAACAACAACAACATGTCATAGAAAGGTCAGTAGCTATAAAATTCCTACACAGGTTCACAGCTTACACAGTTCCTTGCCATTCAGAAAGCTCTTTTCATTCCCCTCCTATTAAAATTTTATATTTCAGATACTGTCTCTGTGAAAAGTTTATTGATAACTATAAGCCACATAGATTTCCAATAGTATCATATATTTTTGTATAATAATGTTTTTAGCCTACAGTGATTTTACAAGGTTGTAGCTCTTTGGTGCTATCAAGTTAGTTTCAACTCAGAATGACCTTATGTACTACAGAACAAAACACTACCCAATTCTGCACCATCTTCACAATTGTTGCAGTGTTTCAGTTCATTGCTGCAGCTGCTGCCAATCCATCTAACTGAGCGTCTTCCTCTTTTCATTGACCCTCTATTTTACCAAGCATGGAACTGGTCCTTCCTTGTAACATCCCCATTTTACAGATGAGGAAACAGAAGCATGGAAGCATTAAGAAAATTTGCCTAAAATCATATAAGTAGTAAATTAGGGGGCTGAGATTAGCACTCAGTTTAGCTGTAAACCCATTACACCATTATAACTGGTTTTCATTATCGTCCATTATCAGGAATAAGTGATCAGCCTTTTATATGCTCAAGAGAACAAGATGTCAGCTTTTCTTTGCTGTAGTTGTGAAGTTTCAGCAAGTTGGTTCCAACTCATAGTCACCCTATGTACAATAGAACGAAACACTGCCCAGTCCTGCACCATCCTCACTATCGTTGCTACTCTTGAGCCCACTGCTGCTGCCACTGTGCCAATCCATCTCACTGGGAGTCTTCCTCTTTTTTGCTGACCCTCCATTTTACCAAAAATGATGTCCTTCTCCAGCAGCATGTACTTTCTTATATGTGTGAACTACAATAGACCAAGTCTCACCATCCTGGCTTCTAAGGGACATTCTGGCTATATTTCTTCCAGCACAGATTTGTTTGTTCTTCTGGCAGTCCATGGTACCTTTAATATTTTTCTTTAACACCATAAATCAGATGCATCAATTCTATAGTGTTCCTATAGCTATTGAAAAAAACATGGCTTGGGTCAGGTGCACCTTAGTCCTCAAACTGACATCTCTATTCTTGAAAGACCTCTTTAAAGAGGTCCTGTGCAGCAGATTTGCCTAGTATAATACATCCTTTGATTTACTGACAGATTGATTAAGTATGGTGAAAGAACACAACTATGACGCACACCTTTCCTGGTTTTAAACCATTCCATGTCCCCTTATTCTGTTTTTTTGTTCCTAAGCTTTTATTGTGAATTATGTGATAGTTTGCATGGGAGAACATTACATTCATTCTATTGTATTTCATTTCATTGCAACCTTTATTCTGTTTGAATGACTGCCTCTTGGTCTATGTACAGGTTCCTCATGAGCACAATTAAGTGTTCTGGAAGACCCATTCTTAGCAATGATATCCATAGGTTCTCATAATTTACAAAGTCAAGTCTTTGCATAGTCAATAAAGCACAGATAGACATATATTTGGTATTCTCTGCTTTCAGCCAACATCCATCTGAGGCTGTAAATATTTACAGGAGCAGAAAACCTCATCTTTCTCCAGAGAACAGCTGGTAGTCTTGAACTACGGATATTATACTATCACAGACAGCACTGCACCTCAAGACAGATCTTGAAATGTTCTTTTTGATGGTGAATGTGATGTCATTCCACCTCAATCTGTCATTCCCAGCATAGTAAAACATAAGATGGTCAGATTCAAAATGGCCAATACCAGTCCGTCTCAGCTCACGAATGCCTCGAATATCTATCTTTATGTGTTTCATTTCATTTTTTACATCTTTCAATTTTCCTAGTCTCATACTTCGTACATTCCATGTTCCGATTATTAATGAATGTTTACAGCTGTTTCTCCTCACTTTGAGTTTTGCCCCATCAGCAAATGAAGGTCCTGAAAGCTTTACTTCATTCGCGACATCACTGTCAACTCTACTTTGAGTGCCTTCCAACCTAAGAAGCTTATCTTCCAGCACTATATCTGACAATATTTTGGTGCATTTCATAATATTTCAATATTCTGGTACTATCTGACGAACCGACTCAACGGCACTTAACAACAACAACAACATCTGACAGTGTTCCACGGCTATTCATATGGTTTTCTGTGGCTAATATTCAGTAGTCTGTCTCTCCTTCTTCACCATCGTAGCCTGGAAGCTCAGCGGAAACCTGTCCACCATGGGCAACCCTGCCGGTATTTTAAATACCAGTGGCATAGCATCCAGCATCACAGCAACATGCAAGTCACTGCAGTAGACAAAGGAGTGGTGGACGCTTTTCTTTAGCATTTAGGATTTTATGTCTGCCTTTCCAAGTTGTGGGTTCCTTTCAGGCTTTATATTCTCTCTAAACCTATTATAGGTGTGCGGCTCCACTGGATACAAACTGGATTGCAAACTACAAGGTTTACGAAACCGTTCACCAACTGCTCTGCGAGAGAAGGATGAGGCTTTCTTCTCCTGCAAAGATTTACAGCCTTGGAAACCTCTTTACAGGGTCTCATTGAGTCGGAATTTACTATACACCACTTAACAACAGTAAACCTATTATAACAACTTAACCATGCCTGTCTTATTTCTCCAATTAAAATGTTTGAATGCAGTAGCATGGTTGTTGTAGTTGTTGTTACGTGCCGTCAAGTCGGTTCCGACTCATTACGACCCTGTATAGGGTTTTCGGAGGAGTGGCTCGTGGGTTTGAACTGCCGGCCTTGAGGTTCAAATTAGCCTTACGTCCCAGCGCATTATCCTGCAGCGCCACACCAGGACTCCAATAACAAGGTTACATGCATTTTATATACTTGCGAGGACTCTCCCATTCCTCACCTTTGGAAAAACTTAGCAAGTAGTTCCCTGTTCTTAGCCACTCCTGCTTTGCGACCACAGTGAGGGAAGTTGAAATAAATTCGATCAAACTCCCTGTCGTGCAGTTCAAAGGCATCTGCCAGCTGGGTGCAATCCACACCAAAACGTACCTCTGTACCTGGCAAGGAATTGGAGGCGCGAAATACAAACAAAAGGTTGTCATCAGACCTGGAACCAGAGAAAAACCCTCCCTAATCTGAACTGCGCAAAACAGTCCAGGTCTAGGCGCAAAGCAAGCAGGCTTTCTATAAATATCTACAGAATGACCAAGAGCAGTCCCCACACTCCTCGCATTTTCACGTCCCCCTTTCCAAGTTTGGAAAGCGATCCGTAGCTAGGTGGGGCTTCGCAAAGGGGCGGATCTCACTACCTCGCTCGCGCAGGCGCCGCAGATTTTCCTCAGCCAGCGGATCCCTGGCCAGGTCAGCCTGGCGTTGGAGGCAGGTGGCAATAATACTAGTAGCGTTGGGATCCAGAGTCTCGCTCAGAGCGGCAGCGAAGGAGAAATTCCCCTCTCCAACCAACAGGAGGCGCCGAGGGGCCATGACTTCAACCTGCTTCCCGCTCGCGATTTTGGTAGCGCTTGTTTCTGACGTCACTTCCTTCGCGGGCCTCTGCTCTCCGCCTCTTCGTTCGTCACTGTTTGATGATGTACTCAAAGCACCTTATTTACTCCAACTGGTGCAGCGATTCCCAGGAGTAACAGTAACCATGAGAGCAAAAGAGGGACGGGTACTACAAAAGAGAGACAGCCGCCCTCTCAATTCCCCAACCTCTTAGCTAACGGATGGCCCCGAACAACTTCCCACGCGCTTGAGGTCACAAGCAATCACTAGCGCGTAGCATCAGGCCGAGGGAGAGGTGAGCTGTGCGGGGCTGGGACGAAGAAGAGGTTGGTCGGTGCCCTGCTTGTTTCCTGTCGCAGAGGCTTTTGTGACTGCTTTAATCTCTTCCGCAATGCCCCTCTCTTACTATGTCTGCTGCCTGCAATTTCTTTATGCGCTTCTGTCGTCTACGTTATATTCAAGAAATACTGAGCTTTTGTGTGCTAGGCCACTGTGAGAATCTTGGATGAACAAGATTCAGCCTGTATTTTCACTCCACTAGAGAATTGGTGCTATAGGATAAGCACTGGACCGCAAGGTCGGTTTGAACTGCAAAGTTGGCGGGTCAAACTCCCCAGCCATTCCATGGAAACCCTATTCAGGGTCGCTATGAGTCGGAACCGACTCGATGGCACTTACCAACAAGAAGAAAATGGTGTAGTGCTGTAAGATCAGCACTGCACTGCTAACTGCAAGATCTCTGGTTCCAACTCACTCACAGCCGCTCCTCAGAAACCCTTTACAGGGTCGCTGAGTAGAACAGACTCCACAGCACTTACCACAACAACAAGAGAATGCACGTTGCAAACGAAATAATTCTGATATAGTGGAATGAGATTTATTAGTGGCATAATTCAGAGTGCTATGGGAGCAAATGGAAAGGGAACTTTACCAACTTTTGTAATGAAGTGCAAAGATTACCTGGAGAAAGTGAACCTGAGTTGAAAGCTAAGGGGGAGAAATGCCCCTTACCTGGATCAAAAGGAATAAAGAAGCAGGATGAGCAATGTGTAAAAGCATGGTCAACCGACAGAAAAATTTAGTTTGGCTAAAGTGGGAAACTGACGAGACTGAAGAGTTGAGCAGTGGTGAGTTCATGCATACTCTGATAAACTCTAATAGGAACCCAGACCTTATTTTAAGAACAGTGAACAGCCACTGAAAAATGACAGGTTTCATTTTCAAAAGTTCAGTTTTTCTGTGAGGAAAGAACTGAAGCAGAACAAGGCTGATAGTAAAGAGATGAGATATGAAACTGATAAGCTAATCTGTCATGGACCAATAGTGAACTGAGTAAGAAATTTAGTAGTGGGTATGGAGCATAGTGAATTGATTTAAAAATCACCAAGCCTATACTGATTGGGTGATAAAGGAGGCTGAGAGAGAAGTCAGAGTCAAAGATAGGACCCAGGTTTCTTCTTTAGCTAACTGGATGGATGGTGATGTCTGTCCTTAAAGCCCCAGACAGTGTGACCTAGATCTGCAGTCTACTAGGCCTGTTACACTTTGTGGGACAGCTCCTCTTTAGTCATCATGCTGTTTGATGACATCAACACATCTGTCTTCACAAAGGCAGATGATAACAGGACAGATACAGAGGATACCATCCTTTAAAGCTACAGTATTGGCTTTGATCCTGACTATAGAAAGAGACATGTGTTGTGGCTTCCAAATCATGGCCACAGGGATTCTGGGTGATCTATATTAATTTTTTGCATGAATAACGAAAAACCAAGTTTGGTGACATCTCATAATGACCACGGAACAGCTAAATAAGGATTTCTGTCACTCTCCTAAGAAGTCTTCAATCAGTACAAGCCACTCAACATCTTATTATTCTTCAGGGAAGGTACTGTCTTTTTCCATAAGCCAGAGAACCAAGCTTGTTTTTTGCCCACCCCCCACCCCCCAAAACAAAAACAAAGCAGAGTACTAGGCTTTAGATTCCTTATTAAAAAAAAAAACCTGAGCTTCAGACATCTAGTATGGGCAAAGCAGTGTTAGTTGAAGAGCAGGCAGAGGGAGAGGTTTCAATAGTGAGTAAGACAGATCCTGCCCTCAGGGAACATACAGTTCAGTAGAATAATACATGTACTTGAAGAATTTAGCAGAAGGTCCTAAATATTGTAAATTATAGGAAGGTAAATTTCTGTTCAAGAACAAAGTCAAGAGGTATTAGCCAGAGGTAATATAGGTAGCATAGAAGAAATGGCATTTGAGCAGCATTAGAAAGAAGGAAACATCATTTGTTGATTTTTACTGTGTTATCTAGTTATTCAACTTTCACTTTTCCTTTTTCTCTTGATTATAGCAATATCCCTAGTCCATGGATTGTTATAGCTCAAAATTACCTAAACATATAACTCATTTTCCATACAGTACTGGAGGTACAAAAATGGCTTTTGTGTGTCTTTCTGATGTGACTGTTTTCACCAATATAGCTTTCTTCTGCTGATTGAGAGAATTAGTTAATGTGTTCATGATTTGGAGACAAAAAAACAAACAAGGAACGCAACCATTAACTTTCAAAGAAAACCTTGATCCTTAGTGTAAAGTGTGTTTGTGATTTTCCTGGCCAGTTATAACAGAGTAGGAAAGGGATGCTGCCTTTTCTATTCTCTTGTTTGTTTAACAAGCTTTCTATTCTTGCCTTTTCCCAGAGAGAATCCCTCATCTGTTTTCTTGCAAACCCACACTGTGGCAGCCTCATTAATGCAGATGGCCATGCTGAAGTGTGGACAGATTGGAATGACATGTCTAAGTTTTTCCAGTATGGGTGGAGATGTACCACTAATGAGAATTCCTATTCAAATCGTACTCTGATGGGCAACTGGAACCAGGAAAGATATGACCTAAAGAATATTATGCAGCCCAAACCCTTACCTTCCCAGGTAATCTAACTCTTTCTCTTTCTCTCTCCTTCCATCTCCTAGCAAAAGAAATGCTGCCTGCCACTTTAGAGACAAGAATTTGATAACTTTCAATACTGCAGTCCCACTAGAGTGGTTAGGGGAGAGGAAGGGACATTCCTTAGTTGGAATGCCTACCCCACTTTACTATCAAGTTGAATATTTAATTAACTGAAGGTATTGAAAGGATGGGTAGTAATGCTTTCTCCTGTTTCTATTTGGACTGTATCTATTTATCTATAGAAATATATATCATGACTTCTGACTCAGGCTAATTTCTTTCCTGGTCTTTGCCTATCAAAGACCTTCATTTATCTGAGCCCTGCTCTCAAATCTCTCCTAAACAAACAAACATATAAAACATATAGATTTATGACACATAGACATCCCATCTATTTAAAATATGACACAGCCTGTTAGAATTCATGCCATTCTATGCTTAATATTCTGATTTAGCAGATGCTTAACCTATTAATTTTTCTTTTCAGTTTGGACACTATTTTGAAACAACATATGATACAAGCTTTAACGACAAAAGGCCACTTTCAACCCATAGTAGGTCGACTATTCTTTTTAATTTTTATATTCTCAGGACCTAACTCAGTGCCTAGAATGTTGTTGTTGTTGTTGTTAAGTACCATGGAGTCGGTAGAAGCAACTTAATTAAAAGTATTCTGAAAAAATGAAAAATTGAATGTAATTTTTTTTTTTTTTCCAATTTTGGCAGTCTCCATTATTTATTGCCTCAGAAACATAGTGATATCTGTTACTATAAATCCTTGTTGTTGACTGATTCCACTTGTTTTTTCTTCTCTTTTCTCTTCCATCAGGATTTAAGCAAGAGCCTCACTGGTTCCCAGGACATCAGCCTGAATTGGATCCTCCTCGATACAAATGCACCGAAAAGTCAACTTATATGAATAGCTATTCAAAACCTCAAATCACACATCACCTTGAGTGTGTATGGGATCCTAATACTGGCCAATTTCAGGATCCAGGGTTCTAAGAAAGAACGAGAAGTTTTATTTCTTCAGAATAGAATGTAGGATGGAGCATATTGTAAGCACAACTAAGAATGTAGCTTGCTATAACACAGTCTCACTCTATGAATAAAATACACAGAAAATCTGTACCCTTTTTATTGTTGTAACAGAGATTTTAGGGTTTCTGAGACTGTAAATCTTTACGGAAGCAGAAAGCCTCATCTTTCTCCCATGGAACTGCTGGTAGTTTCGAACTAGCTGACCTCAAGGTTAGCATCCTGACTCGTAACCACTACACTACCAGAGCTCCTTACTTCTATACTAGAAGGATCTAAAAATAAAAATATTTCTTTCAAATCTACAACTCTGTTCTTGCCTGCCTTCCATCAGTGTTGAGACTGCAAAACCCAGTGTAATTTAGTAACTTAAATTCTCTTTGACTAGCTGCTTTCTGAATAAGAGTCATAGTTATGTAATATACTTTGTTGTTGAGTCCCTGAGTGGTGCAAACAGTTACCACATATAGTGACTAACTGAAAAGTTAGAATTTCAGATCTACCATAGGCACCTCGGAAGAAAGACCTGGTGATGTACTTCCCAAAAATTATTTATTGAAAATCCTGTGGGGACTCAGCACTGAAAACACAATAAAATATTGTCTTAAAAAGAAGACCCATAAGGCATGTTGTTACTCTGACTCATATGAGGCCACTAAGAATTGGAATCAACTTGATAACAACTATAACTTGTTAAGTGCTGTTGAGTCAGTTCTGACTCATAGCAACCCTACATAGGGTTTCCAAGGAGCGGCTAGTGAATTTGAACTGCCAACCTTATGGTTCAAACCGACCTTGTAGTCCACTGCTTTATCCTACAGAACCAGCAACTATGACTAGCTGTTTCTTGTATGAGCATTTACTATTGAGTGGTGGTTGTTAAATGCTGTCAAGTCGGTTCTGACTCAGAGCAACCCTGTATAGGGTATCCAAGGAGCAGCTGGTGAGCTTGAACCTCTGACATTGCAGTTCTAACTAACCTTTAGGACGAGTCATATAACTAGGTAGCTATATGTTGTTGTTAAGTGCCGTCGAGTCGGTTCTGACCCATATTGACCCTGAACAGGGTTTCCGAGGCTGTAAATCTTTATGGGAGCAGAAAGCCTCATCTTTCTCCCACGGAGCAGCTGGTAGTTTCGAACTGCTGACCTTGCAGTTCGCAGCCCGATTCGTAACCACTACGCTAATAGCTATATAGATTTTATAAAATCAAGAGACAAATCTCTAGCTATCAAGTCGATTCTGACTCGTAGCAACCCTAAAGGACAGAAGGATTTCTAAGGCTGTAATCTTTATGAACATACACAGCCACATCTTGCATGGAGTGGTTGGTAGGTTCAAGTAGTTAATTTTTCGCTTAGCAGCTGAGCTCTTAACCGCTGTGCCAGTAAGATATATATATATATATATACACTTGATTTCTTGACTGCTGCTTCCATGAGTATTGATAGTTCATCCAAGAAGAATGAAGTCCTTGACAACTTCAATCTTTTCTCCACAGATAAGAATGTTGTTTATTGGTCCAGTGGTGAGGATTTTGTTTTCTTTACATTGAGATGCAATCCATACCGAAGGACTTAAAATATTTACTGATCTTCATCAGTAAATATTTTAAGTCCTCTTCACTTTGAGCAAGCAAGATTATATCATCTGCATATTGCAGGTTGTTAATGAGCCTTCCTCTAATCCTGATGCCACGTTTTTCTTCATATAACACAGCTTCTTGGATTATTTGCTCAGCATACAGGTTGAAGAAGTATGATGAAAGAATACAATCGTGTCACACACCTTTCCTAATTGCATTAGGCAAATCTACTGCAAAAGAACTTTTTAACGTTTTGAAGAGCAAAGATGTCAGCTTGAGGACTAAGGTGCACCTGACCCAAGCCATGGTATTTTCAACCTCATATGCATGCGAAAGCTGCACAGTGAATAAGGAAGATTGTAGGAGAATTGATGCTTTTGAGTTATGGTGTTGGAGGAGTAT